TACTTCGTTGATAACTGTGCTCAGGGCTTTTTCGTCGGCTGCATCGAATGACCGCACGTGAATGTCTACGTCTGGGTAAAGGGACCCCAGCTCCCGCTTGTGCGTTTCCAGATGAGTGTCGCTGAAGTCGCATATATAGACTGCTTTGGCGCCATTGTTGGCGAATTGATGCGCGCTGGCGCGGCCAATGCCACTGGGAGAGTTTGCGCCTGGGATTTGATTGGTTATTTTGATTTTTAAATAGTATTGGGGAATGGCACATACCGGTCACGATTACCACCTTGTCCTTGACCCGGCTATTATTCAGCTGTTAGTTTTGCACCTAATCTTGCAAGGTATAAAGCACTAGAAGCCGACTAAACCAGAACTAGGGCTATAGCCTCCAAGACTACTCACGGTCCTGCTGAGTCAGGGGCAACATGACGGATCTTGGGGATATCCTCGAACGTGCCCTCGGAGGGAATGCCCTCAACGAGTTGCTTGCTCAGGGCCTGAAGACGTTGTCTTGCTGCAGCAGGCATGCTTTATTGTCTAGGAGTAATGGTAAAAGGGCTGCAGATTTCTGTTAAAAAGAATCGAACTGAACGGGCTAGAAGAATCGCTTCAATTGCGGCAGCTTTGCAGTTGGAACAGCTCATCAGCTCTCCCCACCAATGTCGCTTATGCGGAGAGCCGAGGCTCCAGGCTACGGCAGGGCATGGGGACAAGCATGACAGGGCTGTCACGTGAGATGAAAAACAAGCACTAGGGTCACATGATGCTAACTGGTCACGTCATGTGCCGCATGGCATCAAAGCTGCCTTTGTGGGTTTCAGAACAACCCAAATCTGCGCTCTTTGTGATCTCCTGCCTTCGTTGGTCCTAAGCAGGTCATACAGGGTTGGAGTCTGTGCCCGCCCCTGAAAATCACGGTCGAGCTCCCTTCATTCCATCCACGGATCACTACAGCAAGGATCGCCAAGCACGCGCAACAAGACAAGCTAAGCATCAGAAGCTACTTGAACTAGTCAGATCTTTTGTCTCCCTAGCCCGGACGCTTTTTCCAATTCACCGGGCCCGAAAGCTCTAAGAAAAGCCTTCATGAAGCCATTAATCAACGATTCCACCGTCCACGCCATTGCCCGGTTATTGAGTCATGGCAGATTCCAACGTCCACTCCCAGCGGCGTTCCTCGTCCCAAGCGTCAAGCGCCTCGAGCAGAAGTCGAAATGCTAAAATCGTTCGCGCCAAAATGCAAAAACGGCATTCAGGCTCCTCCAACACGACAACTGATTTGACCTCATTCCCCTCGCTTTCACCGCCAGACAAATTTCCAAGCCTCGCTCGTGGCCTGACAAACATGTTGTTCTCCGCAGAAGATGGAGAGGAAACAAATGGAGGTGGGACTGGCCGTGGGCGGAAGGCCACGCTTGAGAATTTGACGACTAGGCCATTGCACAAATCAGGCCGAGCTGCCCTCTTCGCTGATTCCGTCTCCACGCATGATATACCAGGCGCTCTGCATTTAGCCGACGACGCGCACATTGAGCGGCTGGTTGCTGGAACAGGAGCCGTGAAAATGGTGAGGCAGTTTGCTCGCGATCTGGCTCAAAGGGATGCTGAGATCTCGGCTCTCCGCCAACGCGCAGATGCAAGGGAGCGAGAGCTGAAGAGAATGCTACGAGATGTGTCTGTGTCCAACCAAGACATTGAACGCCGTCTGTACCAGTTGGAGAATCCGCCGAGCGATCGTGTCTCGGATGCAGAAAGCACTCATAGCAGCGATTATGCTGGTCAAACCTATTACGGTCTCAATGGATTGATGTCTCAAGCTATGGAAGACACCGTTGGCTCTGGGGCTCATGGGGACGCAGCAGAAGCCCAGGCCACGATTCGTGCCCAGCGGTCAGACAATGATCCCCGAGGCAGCGGAGCCACTGACAACAGGAAGCGCCAAAGCTCGATTCGGGGCTGGCAGGAGTACCTTTTTGGCTCGACCAACACAAGCCGGAAAACCAGTCGTGCTAGTAGCATTATGAGTGATGTTGGTGAACTTGGAGAAGAAGAGGCTGAGCGTCCCCGAGTGCCTAGCAATCCTGCAATGCGACGCAAAGCGCTTGATGAGCATCTGTTTCAGCCGCCAGATGGCTTTGCACGAAATGGACCGGCGAAGCGCATTGCTAGTACGTCTGCAAATGGCGATGATGCAAGCATTCATTCTCTCAAATCCTCACGATCTCTCGGCTCCTGGACTGTAAAGTTATTTGCTGGCAATTCCCCGTCGAGCAAAGAAGCAAGTGATGCCGAGTCCACCCACAATAAACCTCAACAGAAAAAGCCGGACGGAGACAGAAGTGCTTCGTCTACACTGTCTGGCAATCCTAAGGATTCAATGTCAGCAGTGGCCGCTCTGAAGAAGATTAACAGCAATGTCGGTATGTCTACTGCTGGACGATCGGCTAGTGTATCGAGCGTTCAGGGCAAAAAAACCCCTCCTGCCTCGCGACGGACTGCAGCTGGCAACGTGTCTCAAGGCGTGGCATCGGAGACTACAGATAGAGGCTCCACAAATCTGGGGCCCGTCGAGATGGACGCCATTTTGCCCATGGAGTCGAAGCCTCCCACGCTCACCCCTATTTATAATAGTTCCCAACCGGGTGAGTTTCTCACTGACCGGTTCGGTTTCATCTATGATCAACGTAGAAAGAAGCGCCAGAGAGAAGCCAATACTACCAAAAGCAGCATTCACCGTTTGAGTATAACTGAAACTCTTGGTACTCTTCGAACCGATGCGTCAGATCACGAGGATGATCCCGAAATCACAAAACTTCGGCAGGGCGTTCCCGAAGCCTCGCGGTCTTTGCCTGATTCGCCGGATGACCCTGATAGCGGAGCTGTTGCCATTCGTCGATGGCAGGACTATCTGAGGATCCCGTCCCGTCCTACCGAGCTATTGTCCCATACGCCTTCCGCTGGCCCAATCGTCTCTTTGACCACCGCAGGAGAAAATCGTTCTCACAGCTCGTCTGTTTCATATGACAAAGATGGGGCGTTGGCCGTCGGCTCTAGCGCACAACCATCGGCATCTACATCAGCCATCACGGCCGACAGCCCCGAATTTGCTGGTTTATCATCGGATCAGGTCAAAGACACAGCCTCCAGATTCACTGTCGCAGATATGGAGCCCGTAAAAATGTTGTTGGAACAGTTGACTGATCTTCATGATATGTTGCAACGTGATCGAACCGTGAGATGGAACGAGTTTCTTCGCAAAGTGCGTGCTGAACGCCGAAAGGAGGGCGAAGCGGCAGCCGCTGCAGCAACTTCCGATCGATCCCTTGCGGCCGTTGCCACGCCAGAAGTCTCGCTCGCCGACGGCGAAGTTGTAGGTATCGCGGGTCTGGGCAACAAAGGCAAGGTTGGCCGAGCAAAGTGGCGAGAATTCCGGCTCCTCGTCCTCGGCGGCATCCCAGTTGCTCTTCGCGCCAAAACTTGGTCGGAATGCAGCGGGGCTTTGGCAATGCGTATTCCTGGCTACTATGATGATCTCGTGCATGGTGTTGGTGGATCGGACCCCGACCCCTCCGTTGTCGCACAGATTGACATGGATATACGTCGCACTCTTACCGACAATGTCTTCTTCCGCAAAGGGCCTGGTGTTGGCAAGCTGAAAGAGGTCCTGCTTGCGTACTCGCGCCGCAACCCGGAAGTAGGCTACTGTCAGGGCATGAACCTCATCGCAGGGTCTTTGCTCCTCATTATGCCGACTGCCGAGGACGCATTTTGGATTCTGGCCTCGATGATCGAGATCATTTTGCCCCAGCACTACTACGACCACGGCTTGCTCGCCTCCCGTGCCGATCAGGTAGTCCTGCGCCAGTATATTTCAGAGCTGCTCCCAAAGCTCTCTGCCCACTTAGAGGAACTGGGGATTGAACTAGAGGCACTCACCTTCCAGTGGTTCCTCTCTGTCTTTACAGACTGTCTCTCCGCCGAGGCACTGTATCGCGTGTGGGACGTGGTTCTATGTCTCAATGTGACCAGCGCAGTCAATGCCTCGGGGTCAATTGCCTCTGGTACTAAGGAGAGCAATGACAAGATTGCCAAGGTTGCCGAAAATCTTGCCTCTGGAAGCGGAGGCGGAAGCACATTCCTGTTTCAAGTTGCTCTCGCGCTGCTCAAGCTCAACGAGCAGCAATTGTTAACGACCTGCTCGACACCGGCAGCACTCTACACATACATCAACCACCAAATGACCAACCACGCGATTAGTATTGATGGACTGATTCAAGCCAGTGAAGCACTGCGTAATGTGGTCCGCCGCGAAGATGTCGTTTCACGTCGTGCTGTTGCCCTGCAAGTAATGCGCGACGTGAGCAGCGGCGCTGGCAACTAGACCCTTTCCATACGGAATTTCTCGTCTTGGCCTCTTATTCATTTCCCCCCTACATTTTTTGGGCAATACCGATACGACCTGAGCATACGGCAAGGAGTTTTGGCTTTTCTGATCTTGTTTTTTTTAATTGCATGGCGCTAATTCCTTCATTATTCCTTTATTTTGCGAAAGCACTTGTTGACATAGCCCGCGATGTTTTGATCGCCCATCTCACACACTAACCCAGCATTTGAGATACCCCTGGATTTCACACTTGGGCGGCAGCACTGTTAGACTTCTTCGAATGAAATCAAAGTATTCTTTCCAGCATCATTATGGATCCTTCGACAGCCTTGGGGTGTCTAATATGGTTCACTCCAGGGCTCGTGATTTCTCTTACAAGTTCCGATCTTGCACTGAAATCGTAACTATGCAAGGGAGAAATTTTTGATTTGAATCATTTCTTTCATTTTCACACAAAACCCAAATACTCTGAGAAATTTTAAAAAGCAGAACAGCCGGCATTGCAGTTAAACGACAACCCCCTATTCCCAGAGAAAGGCACCGCACCGGGAAGGATTGAACAAAGCACCTCAACTATTCAAACCGAATATCGTCAGAGGTCTGCTCAAGTACCTTCATTCAGTTAGCCTGTTTCAGGTCTGGCCTGCCTCGCACATGTCTCGAAATCAGTCAATGCCGACCCGTCAATTCTCTCCATATACCGAAGGATTTCCAACTGGTGAAGCTTGTATTCAAAAGTCTGCGCATCGGATACGCTTCTGCAGAGCTCTCCGTCAGTGCTGATAGGAGCCGTAACTGGATACGGGGCTGCAGTCATGAACCTGGCCTTCAACTGAGGTTTAAAAGTCTCTCTGGCAATTCTCATTCTTCGGCCGTCTTCTGCGCCGGTGTAGGCATCAAACTTGATGTTGGCTTGATCCATGAGGCCTACGCATTGATATCAGTCTTAATTCTCTGGATTTTCAAGATTCCAACAAACGTACGCTCCATGTGCTTGATGTAAAGACACATTCTCTGATATGTCCGTTGAAGCTCGCGCTTCTTAATGGCTGCTCTGACATTAAGGTCCAGCATCCAGGAAATCATCGCGCAAGACAGTCCTGCCCATAACTGTCAACCTCTTGTCTTACGGTGCATCCCGGATTAGGTTTATAGTACCGTCTTTGGTGTAGCCATATTGTTCACTCAGATATGGCGCTGGAACCTTTTCCATGCGATTCACAAAATCCGGGGGAGTCATTTCAGCGACCATTTCAAGCGCACCCATTAGGATGAGTTTTTCAGAAGATGTCGAATGAGTGTTAAGGAGGGCATGTCTTTCCTTTTTCTTGTGTCTCTTTTTCGTCTACGGGCGATCGGCTTTGAAGAGCCGAGTTGGCGGTCTCTTTGTTCTTCGCTAGTCTATCTCTACCAGCCATTCTGACAGATAGGAGCTCTTTGTTCTCGTCACATATTTCCAAGGCTCTAGGAAGTTAAATGACTCGGCATTGGTGTGAAAGTCGAAATTGGGGGGGGGGGGGAGTTGAACCGTCCTGTGGGCAAATTCTTTGTTCTCAAAATAGATCTGGTATGCTTCGACTTGGTCGCTTTGTTCAAATCCCAAGGCCTGCTTTTCTCTGGACAGATTGACTGGACCAGATAGCTCAAATTATCGATGACTCGATCTGGATTTGAGAGCCAAACACTGGTCTTGCGGGCACTTACCGGCTGTTCTTTTGGTCTATATAACACCCTTTCTCTTCTCTTACCCAATTCCGTGGAGAGCACTCACTTTCTATAGTGTCCTTGACCTATCATCACGGCAAAATGAATTACGAGCGCATGTCAGCCGAGATCCCTACTCTCTACCGGCTATCTAGGGAGTCCAAAGGTCGTCATGTCTCTATATTGCTCTTCGACCCTCTAGCCCATCACGAGAACTAACAAAATCTCAGAGGCTGACCTCCTCAATGGTCTTCTAGGCTGGATCCGCAACGATACCTTTGGGAAAGTGGCAGAAGTCTGTGCTCTCTGGGGTGCAATCGTCCAGGCCAACCAGCACCTTGCCAAAGTGGATCGTAAGACGATGCGCTCTGCCTTGTGATCACCGTTGCTAATCAAGTCCCTAATCTAGGTACGCTGCAAGCGCGTACGATGGAACATGAGCACTTCAATCTCAAAGAAGTCCTGAATTCGGAGTTGAAGCAAGCTAAGGAAATGATGGCTGCCATCCCCGGTGGCAGACGTGCAACTACAGTGACTACCGATGAGGACTTTTCTCTTGCTATTAAGCGGCTGAAGTATCTCCGCGAGTACACATAGTCCTGGTTTCCCAGTTCTTGGTAAACTCATGGATAGGAAGGGGAATGTGGTTCCTGGCGTTCAGGGTCCCCGTCTGTTATTTCAACAAGTGATGCTATCGTTATTCATCTGCACAGATAGTTTCTTCAGATCCCTCAAGGCCTATTTGTTGTAGCATTTTGATAAGGAGTCGGAGCTAGGAGAGAAAAGATAGTACGAGGTGGTAATCGGAGTCCTATTCGCTGCCTTTTCATAGACTCAGCTCGTTCATAAAACAGTCACCAACACTAACTTTTATTAATCTGCATCTCCCCAGTGAGGGGTTTTTTTTTTGTAAATTCCTCTCGCAGAGAAACACAGATAAAGCCGTATAGTCTCGGTTTGGGTCTACCTTTATCAGTCTACAAAGGCAAGCAGAGCCAAATGGTCTAAAGGAGATGTGCAGAGCCAGGTACCAAAGGAAAACCATCCCAGTTCCCTCCAGATACCCCGGTCATGAATCGGGCAGGAATCAGATACAGATAAATACTTCTATGCTCCGGACTTGGGTCTGCTCAGCCCCAAAGGGGGGCCAGAGCCCTGCAAGGGTTGGTGGGGGCGGCAAACACCAACCCTTGAATCAAAGGCCGATGAACACGCTGAGCCTGAAGGACGCTCTTGACTTGCTTCTGTCGGGGATTTCAAAGACAGTGGGAAACGCTGGGTGGGAAAGGACGGGAGAGGTAGGTCACATCTTCTTTCCTCAGCTCGGGCTCTGATCCACCCAAAACTGACTGTTATCTAACACCGTAGTCAAATCCAGCGAGTCCATCGTTGGACGCAATCCTAGATCCATCACATCCCGAGCAACGGCTTTGATCTGCCGCATGATCGACTGGGAAATAGCCCAGGTGCGAGCCAACGACTTGAAGACCCCGATCGTCAACGCCAAACGGTCACGGCTAGGGTCTGGCATTTGACCGGCTTTGACAGAGCAGGTCGCCAGTTGGACAATGGAGCTCAGAGTGAGTGCACAGATGAAAAATGGAGTGTGTTTGATAACGGGCAGACGGAAGGCAGCAAGGCGGGATAACTCCCGGGCGGCCTTGGCAGCCTTCATGGCATGCTCATTGTGGGAGAATGCAGGCACACTGATCGGTCCATGGTTGCCACATATGACTTCTGCGGCAACGGCGGGAGATGAAAGAAGATCAGACCGCGGGAAGTTGAGGTAGATGGCCGCGCCGTTCAACATCATGGTCGCCTGGAACATGATCTCATCCACGCTCCCGTCGGGTCGCAAGAGCTCTTCCTTGGACTCTGGCAAGTGGTGGCCCCAACTACCAATGCGCGCATCAAGAGCTTCCACATAGTCCTGCTGGCCTTCGGTCATATCCTGCATGGCCACCACACGACCGAGAATCCGTATAGATTCAATGCGATAACAGTATGAGGAAAAGTCGCGCTCTTCTTCCGCAAACACGCGCCCGTCAAATTGCGCAATGGTCGGGGACGGTGGCGGCGGTAGGGCGTCCTGGTAAATCCGCTCCTCGCATGGAAGTGGGACCTCGAGCGGCACTTGGTTGGTTCGGTACTCGCGCTGCACACCGAGGGCAGTCATGAGACCCTCGATAACGAAGAGCTCCCACCAGGTGCGTCGCAGGGACTCTGCACGGATTGGATCCCCACTGCTTGCAATGATCGCAAACGTTCCTTGATGCATGCCAAGTTCGAAGGCTGAATCTACTGCAGCGGTTAGACAAACGCCGGCCTCGCCTCGTTCATTGTCCGAATGAAGTACAATCGCCAGTAGAAGCAGTGCCTGCACCTTTTCCACCGACACAATTTGTTCTTGGACCAACGTGACAACCGTTGGCCGGTACGTGTCACTCGAGGCGGCCGGAGTGAAGTGGGCACCGATGAACTTCATTACCTGCTCCAGGTATGCGGGTAACACACTGCGATATAGTAGTCGGTGGGGTGGCAGGATTGGATGGGCGGCGTGAAAATAATTGTAGTAGATATCGAGCAGGTAGCCATCCCCGCCGACAGCAGAGGAAGAATCCGGAGTCAAAGGTCCGTTTATCGGGCGGGCGGATGGAGCAGTTGGCTTCGAAAGACTGTGCAGTCCAGGACTGGTCGATGTGGAGGAGGAAAATGGTATGGTTGGCGCACAAGTGAAGCCATCCTGCAAGGTCCAATCCACGGGGACATCGAGCATGCCTACCGGGTTGGGATGCATGGGCAAGTACTCCGGAGAGTTAGCGCGGCGCTTTTTCGATGGGCCCTTATAACCTCTCCGAGACTTGGTATATTCGCAGGGGGATCGGGCGTGTTCACAGCGGCTGCATACGGGAGTCCTGCCATCGCATTTGAGGTGTTTGTGTCGGCACTGAAGACAGGCCAGTAAAGCGGGACCCGGTTTAGACCCAGGAATAGCTTGCAATTCGGTCATGGTGAAGAAAGACGCATAGAGGAGAGGCTGTAGCGAGAAAGTAGATTTGACTGAGATAGACGAATAGAGGGGAAAAGAAGAGGGGGAGAGAATTAAAGATGTTGCAATGTTCCAATGTCCCGGGTGGTAATTCGCAATACGCACCTAGGGGGGAGCACTAGTTAAACAGGGGAGAACGTCTCTTTCTCTCTTGCATAGAAAAAAGTCGTATAAATTCCTATGTAGGCAGAGAGATCATGATAGTCCCAGAGCTGAGAGGTGAAGGAGGTAAGAAGCGAGACAAAAGTGTCAATATACCAAAGTATCACAGTACATACCTTGAAAGTCATGATCCGAGCGTTTAATCAAGTACACAGTACATTACACAGAACGTGTACGATATACTTACATTACCCGATAGCTCTCATCTCCAGCATCCGGCCTTGTCAACACAACACTGCTCCGTCACAACTTGCACTTGTTGACTCTCTTCCTTTCAATCCTTTCAATTCTATACATTCATTGCAGAGGGAACCATCCGAAATCCTACTGTCAGGACACCCGCCATTACACAACTACACTGTGTAGCGTCCCTCGAACTACAGGCCGACGTGTCTTCTCCGATTAAATCGCCCATTCCCCAACGCTTTCTCTCCAGTCGTTTTCTCTCTTGAATTCATCTGTGACTATTTGCATCGCTTCTCCGTGGCCTCCTTTCACAATGATCTCCGACGATGACCTCTACCGCCTCGCCATCCTCCTTGGCTCCTGCGCCATGATGATGATTGTTCTATACCACTTCCTCGATGTCAATTCCAGCGAGGAGGAACCTGAGTCTGCCGAATCAGCAAACCAGATCAAGACCGAGGCTGCTGTATCAGTGGTGTCCACAGACAAGGTGTTAGAGGAGGGGAATTAAATCCGATTTGCGACGCGTGGGAGAGAAGGAATACAAGAACCCAACGGGAATCCCAAGATACCAGTGCCTACATCATTTGATTTAACAATTACCAGCGAGTCAGGCACGAGCCATTTGTACACTACAGTCCAATCAATTGGAGGGAAAGGCAATCATTGCCAATCTCACGGCTTTATTCATCGACGCTCTTTGAGTAATTCTAAATTGTGCGGTTCCTGGGAAATCCATCGTATAGATCTCATAATAAACCAGAACATCTCAAGGTGTCATCCAGATGCATAATGTTGTGAGTCACCATAGCAAGGTGACATATCATGGTAGATTTTCAACCCCAGTCCCCACGCGATGAACTGAATCCGAAAGAAAACGGGCCAAGGGTATCACAAAAGTCAAACAGCCCCATCAATTCTCCCCAACAAACGCCATCTCCCCACAATGTACCCTGCTCTGTCGAACGGGCGTAGACAAACGGCGGTCGCTCCAATCCATTTCAGGGCCAACCTGTTGCTTCCAGTGTCGTCCCGCTTCGAGCAGAGCTTGAGCCTTGGTCTTCTCCGTCGATTTCCCATGGGCCTTGCTAAAAGCCTTGACCTGGTGCTCATCTACCGGCAAGACCATGGTCCCTTTGCGAGCACTGCAGTCGCCCAGAACGGAAGGGTGATTGGTTTTGTTTCCCGCTAAAACATTCATCCGATTAGACATGTTCTTCAAATCAAAAACAAACTTCGTGTGTAAAGCAATCCCTTGGAGGAGTGTCAAGCGCAAGCTAGTTATGATTCTCACCAGTTACTGGCACCGTTGGTCCATCCCCAAGCGCCCAAGCCATCTTAGACACGTGCTCGCTCACCAGATGCGTAAACATATCAGCTGCAGCCATAGGCGTCTTGTTGCCACAGTCTATCCATTTGCAAACGAGCGAATGCGGGATGTGAACTTTGATGAGGTGGGCCTTGACCGAGTCAATGTTATGAAGTTCGGCAGCGCAACCCTCCCATTTGCAGGGAAAGACTTGATATTGCACTTGCTGTTCACGATGGATAGCAACTTCGATATTGTTCGCTGGGTTCTTGGGAGGTCGGCCGGGTCTTTTCTTCGTGGGCATCTTGGCGGGTGAGAGTGTAATAACAACCTGCGGCTGAAGACGCCTTGCCTCTGGGGATTTGACGGCCCGACCAGAGTTCAACTGGCTCTTGACCGCCTGCCCTTGAGGTTTAGGCTTTACTATAAATTTGGGGGTTTGCTTTTTGGCAGGCGAGGGTTTGGGCGAAGCTACACTTTTCGTGGTTGAGGGTCGTCGCCGTTGGGATTCCGGTTGGGGTTGCGCCGGTGGGGGGGTTGAGAAGGGGACGGATTGATGGGATGAGAACTTCGGCGATGCAGACAAAGGGTCGATCCTGGGAAGTCCAGAAGGCAAGTTTGAAAAAAGACTTTGTTGAGGAGTATGATAAGTTGGTGGTTGGAAAGGTAAAGTACCCCAAGGGCTCAAACCGCCAAGAGGGACACGCGCGTCGATCCTTTCTGGCATCGCGACTTGACGATTTGGCGGTGTGTCACGCGCTGGTGTTGAAGCGTGATGACGTGAAGCCACGTGACTATTTGTGAAAGTGGGGTCACATGAAAGTGATTGCCAAGCTGCTGCCTGCGGTGGTTGAGGGTGAGGTGGTTGAGGATGTGGAATGTGAGATGCAGGAACCGGAGGCATGCGATCAGCTTGAGTTCCAGGCTGCTTTGTGTCCACCAGGTCCCAACGAAACGTTGCCAAGTCTGCGTTGTAGTCTATTTTGGTAAAATTACGGCGCAGTGCTTCAAGATGATGGTTTAGATGCTTCTCCGTAGGGTGTCTTCCCGCAGCAATCAGTACATCCCGCGCGATCGTGGCAGGATCATAAGATTGCTTGGGCAGTGCATCGCTCCGTCTTATCGGCTGAACTAGGTCGTCACGATTCTTAAGAATTTTACCGGGGCCTCGGTGCCGAGCATAATCGAGAGGTACTTGGGATCCTGGTACCGAGGTAACTGTTGATGGGTAAGTTTGATGAGTCATCATTTGACTTCTACCATTGTCCAACCGTAGCGACTTTATGGGAGGCGAATAGTCATCAGAATGCTCTGCGGCCGGAACCCACCGCTTTTTCTGATGGCACAGCTGTTCCGGCAGGTGGTAACCCCGCGACGGCGTGTTCCCGCCAACAGGCGGTTGTGCTGCGGGAGAATCAGAAAAGGTACCTCGCCGGGGTCCCGAGTTAGACGAGGAGTTATAGGCGGGCCCCGAGGTAGAGGCCGCAGAATTGAGTGACGCGAAGGCTGAGGCTGCCACTGGTGTGCTGTGCCACCCATTTGGTTGGGATATTGGAGGCTGCTGGCCTTTCTGGTTTGATGCCTCATAGGATGTATCAGGTGCTGCTTTACCCTGATTCCCTACTTTTTCCCGACTCCAGCACTTGTCCAATTGGCGCGGAACAATAGTTGTCTGCCTTGGGGGGCCCGGAGGGGTGGAGGCAGAGACAGGAGCAGAAGAGGCAAGAGAGATAGAAGGACTGCGAGGTGAGACAAGCTGGGAGATTGCAGTGCTGTGGACCTTGTCAGGCGCTGTTGGCACGGCTGGTGGCACATTATGTTGATTATGAAGTGAAGACCCAAGCAGACTTGGGTTTGATCTGGCGAAATCGGAAGCCTCCCGAGTACCCGTAACTGGTGTGATCACATTTTGGGGTAGTTTGCTACGTGCTGCTGAAGTTTTGAATCCCTTTGGCGAGACCAAAGAGGCACAAATCTCATTTTCTGTCCAAGATTGGGTGCTTGGCGGTGAATTCGGGTGAGATGGCCTTAGGACGTTCTGGGTTGAGCTCGTGGAATGACTTTGAGATGGGCTCTGCGATACTTGGGGCTTTGCCACCGGTGTACGTGTCGTTTGAACTGGGGGCACAGGCCAAGGTTGTTGCGCTGCAGCTGAATCAAATAGTTGCTGGACATTTCGGGCTGGGATCGCATGGTGGTTTTGGTATGGTCTTTGTGGTCTTGCTGCCGGTGAGTGTTTTCTTTGAATTAGGGGTGTTGGTCGGGTCCCTTGCGCTAAAGTTGAATGAGGTCGCTGAGTATTGTAGGACGGAATTGTAATGTCGCAGTGAGAAGGACTTTGCGTTTCTGCCGACATGCGTGTTCTGTGAACTTGTGTCGCCATACCTTGTGCCACGTGCGGTTGGGCTAACATCTGGGAATTCTGATTTGGAGTTGCCGAGTGGCCATGATACGAGTTTTGTGATGTGGGCACAGCCCGTGCCTTGGGTTCGTTGGTTCTCTGTGCAGGGACTGTCGGTCTTGTAGTTTCATAGACCCTGTGGGAGCTTTCACACGGCTCTGAAGAGTTTGGCATAGAGTTAAAAGTCCTCCATGAGTAGGGAGCGGGATCCACACCCGTACAAGCTTGGCCGGGAGAATGTGCATCCCGATGTGCCTGAGTCATGTGCTGTTGGGACGGAATATGTGGATCAAGCCGGTGCATAGTAATGTGAGAAGGGTCTGTTTGGTGTGGAGAATGGCTAGAGGGAGGATGGTTGAATTGAATTTGGCTGGTTTCCTGGTTTTTATTTCCTCCACACTGTCCATCTGAGGCTTGCGGGCATGCCTCCGAGGGATTCAAGGCATGATTCGTCCCAGGATTGGTTGACCTCATAAACGAATGTGATCTTTGTACCTGCGGGTGTATAATTGTCGCTCTCGCCACTTCTTCCGCACCGTGTAATGCCGCATTTGTTTGATAAGCATCAATTTCAGAATCGGGGTCGGGTCGACTGTCGGCAGGAAGAAAGCTCTGGAGCCAATCGAATCCGTCCATGCCTCCGCTGAACATTTCAAATTGTGCCGGGGTGTCTAGCAGCTAGAGTCTCATGGCTGGGAATGTCGTAGGAGCAAAGAGGAGGGTTAAATGTAATCTGTTGCGCAGGGATCGAATCGCAGCGGAACAGGGAAAAGTCGAGTTTAGTAGATTGACCCTAGTAAACTATTATGCACAAATTTAGACCAAACTGAAACATTGAGGAAGCAAACTTTTCACAGTCCTTGAACAAAGCGCGGCTAAAGGGCTGGCCTGGCGCAGATGTTATCAAGGCGGCGCACTGAGAAGCGCGTCGGATGTGGATCCCAACATCAACCAATGATATCATGGGCAGTTGGTGCCTTGTGGATCAGGTGTCTGGGTGCAAGCCCTGAGATGGCTTAGCGGGAAATTAGTAAGCACACAATCCGGCTCCAACTTGGAATATTCGGCTACACCAGAAAAGATCCTCTCTTCGACCAACGCCAACGACACCCGTTCAATTCCCACTCACGACCTTTAAGATGGCTGTCCGAACCCACGGTGCGTACTCTCTCGCATCTCGCCTTGCGCCGATTTTGATTTATCACTGCTCGAACCCCCTATCGATCCGAATTTTCGCCAATCTTCAACTTTGAATACTGATGGTGTTTCCTCCAGGTATCGCCTCTTCGCGGAGCAAGTCTCGCAAGGCACACTTCCAGGCCCCCTCCAGCGAGCGCCGTGTTATCCTCAGCGCCCCCGTCTCCAAGGAACTCAAGGAGAAGTACGGAGTATGTACCACATGAACCTGCAAAATCTGGATCTGTTCGAGTCAAGTTTTCGGGATTGGAAACTACGGACGATGCAGGTGCCAGCATGACATAATACACGGCGATTCTAACCAGTATTCTGTGGCAGATCCGCTCCATTCCCATCCGTAAGGACGACGAAGTCGGTGAGTTTCATGCTTGACGGAATCTTGAGAACTGTCCCAAGATCTCGAAACTGATATTTATATGTAGTTGTTGCCAGAGGTTCCCAGAAGGGCCGTGAGGGAAAGATTACCAACGTCTACCGTCTCAAGTTCTCCATCTTCGTCGAGAAGGTACGATCCGAATTTACAACACAGTTGTTGCGGTGGATACTTACTGCGGTTTTTAGATCGTTCGTGACAAGAGCAACGGCCAGAGCGTCCCCATTCCTCTCCACCCTTCTAAGGTCGTCATCACCAAGCTGCACCTCGACAAGGACCGTGAGCAGATCATCGAGCGTATCGCCAAGGGTCGTGAGGCTGTCAAGAGCAAGTCGGCTTAAGGGATTTCTTACGTGTGGGGTATAGGTTCATGTTGCAATGGCGGTTGACGGCGCGGGTTCACTTGAAGGACTCTGAGAAACGGAGTTTCCATCCTGCTATGATCAGGGTAAAGTTTCTGAAACCAGGTGCATTGCGATGAATGAAAAATGAACAAAATTTTCTTTTTCTTCTATCCGGAGTCCGTGCTCGCAAGGCAGTACACTTTGCGCAACCGGCGTTCTTCTTCCTTTCGTTTCCCGCGCACATGGGAACTTCTGTCGAATGCCACAGCTCAATCTTCAGGTCGTCTCGTTCCGTGTCCAGTCTGCAGCTCGTCCGACCCAGCATTTCTTTTTCTTCGCTTGCCTCAGTTCTGTAGCGACCTCTCTTCACTCCCTTCTACCTCCAATTCCTTCCTGTTGGAAATTAGATGTGTCGCCTGATATATCTCCTCGTCAATCCCCCGTCTTTCTGGACGGAGCCTATGGTTGAAGAGGTAAACACTTGGCGTAGACAATTTACAGAGCTACTGGGAAGCTGGTAGCTTCTGTCTTACCTGCAGACTCACTCCGATGCTTTCAGGCAAGGACGAAGTGGGTTTGATGGTGAGGTACATCTCGCACTCTAAAATTGGTGTTTATAGGCTGTAAATTGTAAACTATTCTACTTTTTGAGCCTAGGGATGATGAAATTACTCTGTCAATGAATTGCTTTTTTTTCTCATCATTGCTTCTCGAAGTTTCCTTCCCTAACGTTTGTCTTCGTCATTTTTGCATAACATGGCTAGTCCGACATCAAGAGCGGCAGGTTGCAATGGCTATTGAGAAGACGAAGGACATTTACAACACATGTCTAACTGTGCCCTCACCACTAGTGGTTTTGCTGTCTAGGCATATGTACCCTGGAGAAAGATCATGGCATTTGTTAATGAAGTGTTCATGATGTCGATGGAAATTCTGGCTCTCAGAGTTGTACATCTGAAGGACTCGATTCGAAGGATGCTTTTTTTTGTCGCCATGCCCAGTAGAACCAAAGGTAAAAATTACAACTACACAGCAAATCAATTCATGGAAGTGTTTTAGCATTTCCAAAGAACTGTCACTGTCATTCTAATAGACAAGATTCATCATTTACAATAAATAGTAAAGCCAAGGCTTGACAAGAGGAGGCGTGAGACACGTCAAACTCACTGGCTACCTAAACACCAAGTCTCATGAGATATTTGCAACCCTCCATATCCTAAATAGTACATATCAGATCCTTACACATACAAACTTGAGGAACATAGTCCAAGGAGTGAGAACCGGAGCAATTTCAGAAAAAGTAGGAAAGCAGATGGCGCATCGTGTCTCATGAGAAAGTGGGAAACTGAAACAACCAAACACAGAAACTGAGAGTTTGGGGGAAAAAGCACGCTCGCTGAAATGTTCGACTAACCACCCGAGACTGCGCTAGTGCCCAACACACTTGCCCCATGCAGGTAGTCCACACCCCATGCCGATAAACAGATACAGCAAGAAGACAACGACGACCACAATCATAATCATCAACTTCGTGTTCTTCCACCACATCCGTCTCCGTAATCCTCGGCTACGGATCCGGAAATCATGCGCACTCCCACCAAGCCGATCCGTCTTATCAACCAGCAGATCGATGCGCTCGCCGCGTTCCAGAACTCGCTCGATATTCTCGGTCATTATATCACGGACACTGTCAATCTCGCGCCGGGCTGATGCGAGCGAGTCTGCTGGCGGAGCGGTGTTGTAGGCCTGTAGGAGAGCGCGCAGCTCGTTGTTGAAGGCAGCACAGCCATAGGCGGGCAGTGAGGCGAACTCGGTTGTGGATGGTTCGTAGGTAGTCAAGAACTTACGCTTCATTTCTAAGAGGTAGGCAAATGGGATGCGGCGGCCTTGCTCTGCCGATGCAACTACCACGAAGCTCAGGGGAGAGTGTGAGTTGGGCTCTGCAATGTTGCCATCGTCGGATTGGTTGCCTGTTGGCGAGTCGGCAATATAATGGACAAAAAGTCGTTCATGAGTGAAGGTGAGCTTTTGTGGCTTGTCGTGTGTGATTTTGGGGAGGATGATGGAGGCTAGTGACGAAGCGGCGCTCGATGAACTGCCCGGCGAGGAGTGCTCGGCCAGAATGGTAGTGCGATGGGCAATGCAAGAGCTATAGTTTGACTGTAGTGTTAATCTGGGAATATATACTTTTCATCGCTCATATGCCAGACAGTAAGACTTACTAGAGCAGAGAGCTCGTCTTGGAGGATGAAGCCATTGTGATGTGATGTCAGTGACCGTGACTTCAAATGTAAAGGGGTCGTAGCAGAAAGAGCAGAAAAGAGAATTCAGTCGAAGTGATAGAAGAGCTCGCAAATTTTCAAGCGCTTATAATACTTGGAAATAAGAGCTTTCATAGTTTTCAAATTCTTGAATTCAAAAGTACCTTGCCCTGAGGGCAGTTGGCGTAAAGCTGAGTCAGCTCACCTCAACTCTTTCGAGTTTACCTCAAACCCAGTCATTTTGATATCTGGGCTTGTACTTGACAGTCATAGCCCGAGTGTGCTACACACCATCCTCTGTTGGCGTTCTGCAGTGAAATTTCCAGTCTCTGAAAGAAGGGAGAATCTTCCCTTCCACCTTATTTTGAAATTTCCGGTAGGGATCTGTATACCATACGGTCCATATGCTCGGATTTCAATCAGAATTACCAGGCTGTGATTATATCCCGATCTGACTCTGAAGATCATTCGCGATCACTCATTGCAGTTAAAATTCTTCTTGACTCTTCAGAACTCGGCGCATTGGGGTCGCAAAGCTCACACCTCACGCCATTGAACGTGGTCATTTCGGATTCTACATCGAACACGTGTCGGTGAGGAAGTATAATCTCTGCCGAAATTCTTGTATCAATGGTTATATCCTTTTTGTCAGACATCCTTTGGTGCGAACCACCCAACGCTCACCTCTCTCGCAAACCTTGGTATCTATATATCAACGTCAACTTCGATGGCTAGATACTGAGGATCTCAGAAAAAAAAGTCATGCGAACTAACGAGATTGTGGCGAAACACATCCAGAACCCAAGACCGCCTAACAGAGGCTTGGAATCATAGAAAAAGGGGAAAAGAAAGTCATGTAGAGGCAGGTTTTATTAAAGGAGTAAAGCTATTAAAAAGTAGTTTATTCGTCAACCTCGCTACCACCCGTAAGCGACCACCGGGGTTGGATACACGTACGGGTAATATTTGCTGAGTGAAGCAGTCCGCTTTGAATAACGCCTAAGGAACGGCCTAGAGCTAGGTTAGATAGCTTATAGGCGGCTTAGCGGCGACGCCCCCGAAAAGGGCTATTGGTAACAAAGGGGGCTTTAAGCAATTCAACCTCCCCCTACCCCCCACCCCGAGTGTTGTTGAGTTTGTAGAACCACGAGATGATGTGATCGCCGATGGCCGGCACCGTAGCCACGTCAAAATAATTTTGGCGAGCGCAAAAAAACGTCCACATCTTGCAAAGAGTGCCTACTCTAGGGTGTAGTCCTTCTAGAACGTGCAGAATGTGCTCAGTGCCTTCCCGATGACGAGAGGCTGAGTATTCCACCGGCAACTGTCTCAGGCAGTGATTCTGAAAATTGGTCCCGCGGGTTCGAAGCTTCGATCAGATCGGGTTTCAAATCTTCTCGGCAGTCGACCTAGCCATCGACCTTGAGTCCAAGGGATGCTGTAGGGAATTGTGTTAGATGC